CAGTTGTATTGTAAAGAAATGATATATAATTGTAGATCCTGTTGATTCACAGGAGAGTATGTTCAGATTTTGATGTAGAAGTATATTGAAATTTATTCAGTTTCATACATTTTGTTAAGGACTCCAAACCATACTTATTTATGGGGTGTATAGTAAAAATCAAGATTGAATTATTCTTCTTACTTATTTTGTAGTTAAAACAAATGTTAATGTAAAATACTGAGCATTTGTTAATCATTTTCATCAGCTTTCATGTTATCACATAATGCAACATCTTTTGTCATGATGAATGTATATATGAATTCGCTTACATCATATTTCATGGGGCGAGGAGGACTGAACGTGTTTTCAAAATCAGATCACTTCCTCTGCCTGAATTTGAGACAAGGCTCTGGGTCTTTTAAGGACAGTGCAGTGGTTTAGGTGCATTTTAGTGACCAATCAAAAGGGATTTCAAAGATAAAAAAATGTGGCTTTGGGGTCCTTAAGAAAATGAGTAAAACTATATAACATGCATAGCCATTATCATAAGATTGCTTTGTCAGGATTTCATCAATCCCATCATCAAAGTCATGAAGTTTATCATGGAATGAGTGCAATTGTAGTTCAACAGATAGGATAATTATTGATTATCTGTTACAGTACATAAGCTTTATATTTGTAACATTAGCATGTAGTACAATAGGAGATACAGACAGTTATACAGATGTGCATACACACACACACACACACACACACACACACACACACACACACACACACACACACACACACACACACACACACACACACACACACACACACACACACACACACACACACACATACTACAAATACACTTTTATTTATGTTTTGTAACTCTTGTATTTATTTGTCTTATTACTACTTTTTGACATACAGTCATATACAGGGTATTTGTCACTGTTAGACAGAGACTTGAGAATTGTATACATCGTTACTGAAAAGCAAATGGAAATCAGATTAACAGGTCTGCTTTGTATGAGTTAACCAAGCCAAAATAAGATTACGCATGACCAAAAGCCAGTGGCGGTGACATTTACTTTTTGAAAGAAGGAATGTGAAGTCTGATGGAGGAGCTCAGAAAGAAGGCTTGATTATGGCCATTTTCTTAATCTAGTACATACTTTGGTGCAAGTGTTGATGTAAGGTTTGCTTTGATCCAGTTGTGGAAAAAAGAAAAATAGAAGATCTATTGTAAAATTAGGAAATGGTATTTGGTTCTTGTTGAATTGAAGACCTTTTTGAAATACCAGGTAGCAGGATGATGGGATGTTTGTGTATATATATAAGTGGTAGAATCATGATTTTTCCAAGCGTTTAAGCACATGAAAAATGTGTGAAACCTGAGAGGGTCCTATTGGAGTTCGGCCCAGTGAGTTAATTGAGCATTAATGAATGAGAGACTGTGAGTCTGTGTTTGTATTATTGCTCTCTTGGGTGTGGCGTTCTCCTTACTTTTTCCGAGCAGATATCTCAAGAAAGGCTGTGGAGCAGATGTGAGGTCTCGAGGCAGACGATCAAGAAGAGGACTGTTATAGGTAATTCCCAGGGAAAGGTAAGTGGATCTTTTTATCTTTTTAAGAGAGCATAAGGAGGAATTCAGTCAATGATGTATATTGTAGACCTGGGGAAAGACCAAAGGGCATTGTAGAATTTAAGAATTAAAAGTATGTGGGTCAGATTGGAATGGGTGAGGATGCTGTAAGCCACATTGACACTGGCAGCCATCTCATGTAAGTGGGCGGAGGCAATAAGCTTTAAAATGCTACAGATACGTCAACACTGGTAGTGAGCAAGAGTGGGCAAGTATAGGCAAGTACAGGAAACGTAAACTTAGCATTTCTAAAGCTAAGGTCACACTAGTCATCGCTGTCCCGGGACCCCTGGACAACCTCGCCGAAGTCTGGCCAGCTACAGCTTTGTGATTGGTCAGCTGACCTGACTTTGGCAAGGCTGTCCAGAGATCCCAGGAGAGAGAAGACTAGTGTGACCTTAGCTTAAGTTGAATTACACGATTCAAGATTATACTCAGTAATGACAACTAGAATAATTAATGAAATTAAAGCTTACTCAGTTTACCCATAAATTTTATAAATTCCATAATACAGAAACAAAGCAGCTGCCTCCTCATGTCTGTTTGCATTTGCTTGCTGCTAATGTGTGCATGGCTTTATGGTGCATTCCTGCAGGGAGCATCAGTAGAGCAGAGTGAAGAAGTTTACGAAGGCTTATTTCAGACCTGTGTCCCTCAAAATCAGCCAGTTCCAAATTGCAATTTTATTTATTTTTGTTATTATTGGTATTATCATTATTGATGTTATTATTATTATTATTATTATTATTATTATTATTATTATTACTGTTAATACTATTAGTATTATTGTTTGTATTAGTAGTAGTATTATTAGTATTATTCCTATTATTTTTGTTTTTATTGAAGTTAGTATATTTGTTGTTATTTTTATTAATGTTATAATTTGGGGGGGTATCTCACATTATTAAGATGAAATGCACAAGGTCTCAGGAACTCCCTATAACACATACGTAAACTTTAATGACTGGAGATAATTACAACAAAGCACCTTTGGTCATGAACAGTTTAGGCTAGGAAAGAAAAAAGAAAAGAAAAAAAGTTTAATCCCCCTTAATAAGGAAAAAACAATATCTGTATTTATTCCAGATATATTATAATTTCATGAACATACAGGCTTGAACTATCTTCATGTGGGAATGAAAGCTATGTCAGATTGAAGAAAATCAAGTACATTCATGTGAAAATCTAGGGTCACCATCTTATTTTTAGTGTTATTATGCCAACGCAATGCTAGCAAAAGTCAAGTTTTCATGAAGTAAACTACACATACATATGAAATGTATGAGATAATCTGTTAATTAAGCCGAAAATCACAGCTGTTATAATGGGCAGTTAAACATATTTTTTTTAAGCTTTATTCTTGAGAACCAGACGGATTTTCAGGTGCCACCCAAGGCATGTGGGCACCATGATGACACACGAATGTAGGCTCTGCTGCGTCTGGACCTAGAGTCCGGTGTGCTGAATCCAAAACTTCCTAGGGAAAGATTTTACTTAATCTGTCTTGTGTGTGCAGGGTACATATAACCAGGTAGCCCCACTCCATGTAGATGTAAATTCTAGTTGGCAATTTCTGACTTAAGCCCCATCTCTTTTCCTTTTTTCATTGCAAATATGATTTTTTTTCTTTCTTTCTTTCTTTTTTTTTTCTTGGCTTCCTTTTCAGTATTTCTTTTTTACCATTTGGTCAAACTGAACCATTTTCAAAGGAATTGCACTGAAAAAGCACTTACCATAAGATATTGCACAGAATTTTGGGGTCTGAAAGGGGGCAAAGCTAATGACACCACGTTTAGCCAATGAGAGTGCTTTGTGAGATATCAGATAAAAATAGCAACATAACTATTAGCATAATTTACTTGATATTGTTATAAGTACAAAAAGTAAAAACAAAATTCCCCGCTATTATTCATGATAACGAAAAGTTCCTTCCCATTAACAGCCATCAAAATACTCTTGGGAAAAAGTCAGTTTGATTTTTGGATCTAGTATTCTAAATTCAAGTGGAGTTACCTTGTTTTACCTACCTTGACCTCTCAGGATTAGGTTCCTGGGGGAGGAGCATCTCATCTGTGACTCTTCCCACTCGGATATCATATTCCTTTGGCCAGAGCTTGCGAAGCACGGTAGAGCTCATTGTGGAAGGGGATTGAGGTCACACAGCAAGCCCAACGAAGAGGTGGTGGTTGGTTAGGAAGGGCACAGAGAGTGGATCAGATAGCATTTTTATATTACAGGAGTGTGGTTAATTGGAACTTCATCTCAAACAACAAATATTGTTGTTGTTTTTTTATCTAATAACTGTCTTGAACAACACCTCTGTGGGGAGGGATATTTCTGACAAATATCACATTTATATTATTATTGAAAACATCGGTGATAGTGATATGTCATTGGATGTGGATAATGATTATGGAGAGAATGATGATGGTTATAATAACACTAAGAATAAGGATAATGGAATGGTTAGCTATTAAATGCCCTAATTCCCAGTAGTTGATAGGCTCTGGAAATAGAAATGGATTCTGGGATATCAGTAGCCTTTTCCAGAATGAAGACATGTTTAGAGTATAGTGCTGTAAAGCTGGTTTCCTGTAAAACATGTCAAGGTGATCATAACTTTTCTGATCTCCGTCAAGGGAAATTTGCCAAGCGAGCTCTTGGAAATTGCCATGTGCGTAGCATTCACCATTTGCCCTAGGGTCCAGGGATTTTTTTTTTATTATTATCATTATTATTATTGTTGTTATTGTTATTATTTTTTTTTATTACCATCATTATTATCATCAAAAATCAATTGACTGAATTTATTCAGTTTGCTTATACTGAATGCATGTCTTCTGAATTATGGATGTTGTAGTGGATAGTTCATTTAATCAAATAATTATCTTTGGCCATATCTCTAAAGAGTTGATTTTGTTTGTTAGTTTTCCTTTGGTTTTGGTTGACTAATTAATAAATAGAAGATTTCTTCTCCTCTTCCCCTTCTCCTCTTTTTTCCTTTTCCTCTCCTTCTCCTACTTCTTTTTTCTTCTCCTCCTCCTCTTCCTTCTCCTTGTCCTTCTCTGTCTTCTAATTCTCCTTCTCTGTCCCCTCCTTCTCACTCTCTTCCTTCTCATTCTTCTTCTCTTCCTTCTTCTTCTTCTTCTTCTTCTTCTTCTTCTTCTTCTTCTTCTTCTTCTTCTTCTTCTTCTTCTTCTTCTTCTTCTTCTTCTTCTTCTTCTTCTTTTTCCTCCTCCTCCTCCTCCAGTTGGTTGCTACAAACTTTGTTTTGAAAAACATAAATACTAGAAAAAGGTTGATTTTGAATTAAGGAAATAGAATTTTTAAGGTTTGCATGAAAAAAAAAAAAACAAATCAGTATGAGTACATATGTACGTCATGT